CCCTATAAATCCCATATTAGGGTTGGTAGTAAGAACCTACAAAAAAAGTGTGGGTTTTGGGTTCTCAAGGTGCTCCATCGGCCTGATGTGAGACGACTTTCCGACCGGCCGCGAATGCGGCAAGCGCTAGGATGCGCCAGATCTCGGTGGCAAAAGGCGGCTTTTTAAGCTCTGATCTGCCCAGAGAACCCAATACCCCTTAATTAAGGACTGTACCTGAAACATGTACCTTAAATTATAGGGGCCTTAATATTATGATTTAAGGTATACCCCTTAATTAAGGACTGTACCTTAAATTAGAGGGGCCTTATAATATTAGGATTTAAGGTATATTCCTTAATTAAGGGGTATTGGGTTCTCTGATCTGGCCGAGGCTTGCAACGGCACAAGGACTTAGTGGGAGTTTCCCAAAATTAGGGGTACCTTATTTTGGGGGTCCTTTTAATAAGGGCCCTACTATTTAGGTTACTATATTAGGGCCCCCTATTTTCGGAAACCGCCTAGTGGGTGCGCTGCGGTTGCATGGATCCAGAAACACACTGAAAACACGGCCAAATTGGATCCCGAGATCTGTTGAGGGTTGCTACAGGGCCTGCGTAAATACAGTATTTGCAAGCGGCCGCTGCCCCTGCAAATCAAGATGCATTAATGTTTGTGCAAGATGTCCATGCGGCGTCGATTCGTGGGGCTTGTGTGATCTCACAGCAACCTTTGAGACGATGGCCACTTCGCAGTATTAGGACGAAGCGGCAAAGGCCTTTGTTTGCCTCCTGCATTGCTGAGCGAATGGGCAAAGGCTTTAGGAGTGAGGCTTCGTCAGTCGCGGTCGCGTGTTTTCAACTTCAACATAGGCGTAGATTTACCGGAATTACAAAACTGACAGGGGCAAGCAATAAATGCAGTGTACATGCAAAGCCTAAGCAGAGGCAACGCTGCATCCAGAAGAGGGCTGCCCCATTTTCACATGCCGTCTGGCCATACTGTTGATGGACAAAATTCTGCATGACCCTTATATAGTATAGTACCATAAAATCCCATAGTTTAGGTATATTAATATAGGGTCATGCAGGGTTTTGTCCATCAGCCGTATTGCCAGCTCAACGTACCGGCTCTGCCAGGGGCCAGTTCCGGGCTCAGCAATTTCAAAGCTGGGCCATGATCGAAGCAACGCTGCAACACAGAACCTGAATCCAAAACACATCCCCCAGGGCCCCCTTACATTGGCCGTCCAAGATGCTTGCTTCATTTGTGCAGCTGGATAAAAGTCCTGGGCGTTCACTGAAAGTCAAACCTGCGAAACTACTAGGCCGAACTAGTCAGGAAAAAAATCCATGAGCTATCGCTCTGGGGTATTCTCGGTATTCATCGCCTTCACCAGAAACTCATGACGGTTCACTATCAGTAAGCCTGACCCCAAACCCATCAGACCCATCAGCAACCCATTGCACTGGGAATCATGATTTGAAACATCCCTCATGTAAGTCCACTGTCGCTACTGCCTGGCCTTTCAACAGCCTACTCTGGAGCATCCAACTCTGGAGCATCCATCAATGCAGCAGAGGCACCAGCAAAATGTGGAGAAAAGGCCTCGTGTGTTGAAGTCTTGGGTGACAGGTTTGCGGGTCAAGAAGTTTGGGAGGAGCACCCAGTTTTCGGGTCTTGGACCTTGCGACATCAGGATGACCAAAGAGGCTGTCAGATGGGTAGAAGCAAACGACTACTGAAACCGTTTGAAGGACCTCCAAACAAAAAGCGACATACCACCCTGCGAGAGGCCCAAGACAGGCAAAAAGCAACACAGCCATGCTTCAGATATAATTTCTTTGTGCTTCACGCAGCCAGAAAGCCGTTGAGCCCTCACATGAATGAAGCCCCCGCTGCTTTAACTTGCGCTCCTCAAGACTTAGGCAGATATGCACACGTCGGACGTCGATGGTAACGTCTGATTCAGCAAGGCCTTGCGAACTGAAGGGGTCGTGAACCCCGAATCCCGACCGACTCCGACAGCTTGAACACGAAATGGTCATTAAACCCCGGCTGGCTCGGGTACGCTGGGCACGCAGGTCCCGGGATCCCTTGACTATGCAAATCCTACTACCCATGCTCACCTCCAAGCCCCGCTTAAAAACTCTATAGTGACTCGTCCTCACTTCGCAAGCCTGTGCCAGGACAGCTCCAGGCCGCAACTTGGCAAAGCTCAGCTGCTGAAGAGCACAACGGAGCTTGAGCAAAAAAAGTTTCCGGCGTGAACTTGGGCTTGGGCTTGGGCCGTTGTGGAGTGCGAAGGGTGAAGGATGCGTTCGCGGGCCTGCTGCAACAGCTGCTGCCCTTGCCGACTCGACGCTGCGAATGGTCCGACGATCTAGCCACATGGGATTTGCTGGCTTTTCTGCTGTGCAAGATGACATGATGGTGCTGGTGGCTTGGATGTAAGGCAAGAGGTTTCGACTCGGACGCTCGAAAGAGGCACAAAATCCAGCAAAGAGTCGACAGACAAAAGAGAGATATGAGGTGCCACGAAAGCTGTCAACGCATTTAACAGCAAAGACCAAGCATGCAAGACCAAACCAATGAACATCAATGAACCAAGAAACTAAATCTGCTTTCACGTCACCAGCGCCCTGGGGCATCGAAGAGGGGCCAACCTGTTTGGGCCTGGGGCATTCGAGTGGCTCGGGCTAAAGCATCCTGGTGGGCTAAGTGGCTTTTTTTCCGCTGGCATGATCAGCAGCTAGACTCTCTCCGACCGCCAGGAATCCACGGAAGACTGGGAACCACGAAGGAATATGTAATTTCCTTTGCTTTCGTCATGGCATGGCGCATGGAAGTGGTCCCGTCAGCGTGCGATAGAAACAGCCAGCCTTGCGCCGGTAAGATTCGCAAGTCCCATGTGTCGATACTGTACGCCCATGACTTCTGCGGAGCTGTAGTCGACGAAACCCGACGCATCAACCCTCAAAACACTGCCAACATCCGGATCAAGGCTGGCTGAAAGCTGGCGGCCTTCGCTGATCTAAACCGGTGAGATGAGTTTATAAAGTTGCAGGAACTAGAGCTTCTCTCTTCGACCCGTGTCGGCCCTTCGAGCAAGTTGTGCAACGGGTTGATGAACAAAGAACGTAGCACATGCAAAACTATGCCAAGGTTCGCAAAACAGCAGACAAAACAGCGCCATTCGCGTCTGTGCATCAGTCTTTTTGTTTAATACAATGAAAGGGAGATACAACAAAGATGCAACGGGAATAGGAGCTGTGCATATCTATGCGCTATACACATTAAAGACCTGCTGTGGGTGCTGTGCCGTGGTACCATATCTTCGAGCCCACTCAGCAATGTAGCCCTTTCAATTTGGGTCCACTCTCTAAACCCTAATGTGCTGGTCCAGAGAGTGCCCCATCCTCAGCAACCTTATGTGCTTGTGCTGGCTTCGCCGTGGACGTTGCAAGCTCAATTTCTGGAGCCCCTCGAAACTGCAGCAAGGGAGAATTTCAACGGAGGACATCACCCTGTGTTGTCCCCGTTCTTGCAAGAGAATAAACCTCAATGCAGGCCTTCCTGGTTCCGTTTTCTAGCAGCGACGCCCTGTGTTGTGGCCACCATTGCGAACACTAAAGGCAGCGCAGCGATACAGTAGCACTACCATCAGATCTCTGCTTCTTGCGAAGCTCCATTTCTATCACAACGGTTAAGACACCACTGGCCCCCATGACATGCTCTCATCATGATCGCGTTCTTCACTTCTGCAGTTCAATGTTAGCGCTGCTTGTGCGAAATACATCCACGTTGCTGCCATAGATACTTCGAGGCGCAGAGCTGTGGCCCACTCTGAATTAGAGCGGCTACGGACTCGCGGAAGTCTAAGCTCAAGACTCTCCCGACTCATGGATCCACCAGGTTCCAGCACCAACCGTGCAACCTTTCTCCCTGAAGATTCCAATCAGGACTCAAACTCAAACCGTGACTACACCGGGAGGACAGCCCGCGTCAGCAAAGCCAGTCCCAATTGCCTGAGGGCTGCGGGCCTTGTGGCTGAGGTCTGCCGTGCTTTGAGGATGAGTAGGGTCTCAAGCACAGTGAGGTCCATGGGAATATATCATGAGACTCAGAAGCGAAGAAGCATGTCAAGCCAGAGGATCAACTCTGCCAACATCTGCGGGAATGTTATGTTCCCATTTCAATTTCTCTCCGATTGCAACGACCTTGGACCACATGCTTAGGGAAGGTAAGCCCTTGAGTCAACCAAGCAGACACGCACACAATGGCGCAGGACGCATGACCCACACGCGGCGCTTCTTGGCCCGCTCCCTGATCGCACCCGTCGTCAACCAACATAGACAGTCATAGACGATTCAAAGCCATCTGCAAAGTTTGCGCGAAATAACTTCATACGGAAGGGAACGGAGGCCGTCTTAACCCGAAGCACCGAAAGTTTCAGAATTCAGTCGAAGAGACTTCACCTGACTAGGCTCTTACCCACTCGCAGTCAGAGACGACTTTTCGCCAGAAAATCCTCGAGCCGAGTCCTTGCCAGAGATCGGAAACGGAAAATCGGATCCATCGGGAATTGAGGCCAGGCGGCTCTGAGTGGCAGGCTCGACTTGCAAGGGCTCCGATAAAACATTTCAGCAACCGTCGCCACGTAGTGTCGACACTACTTGGTTGTGAACATCATACGGAGCAAAGAGATGACTTGAGAAGCTCCGAGTGCTCTTTTTTTAAGACAAGGACGCGGTGGCACTCCGGAAGCCACTTCTGCGGAGTATTTCAGTGTTACTATACATGTGCAACATCAGCCGTGTAAGAGAACTGGTTGGACTAGATTGTATCTCCTTCTCGCCTTGAACCGGGCCCTTGCTTCGCAAAGCAAATCACCAAACTCAGCTTCAAATTGAAAGCTGCAGGACCTACCTGGGTCGTGCAAAGAAGGCTGCCGAGCCTAAGCCTAAGCTAAGAGAATGGACTATCAGCCCTTCGCCACGACGGCCGGATGCCATCAGACAAGCATGGGATCAGGAGAAAAGCTTTCACGGTCAGGCTTGAAGATGGGACGTGGAAGGGTCCAGAGCACAGCTCTGGGGGATCATTCGGAAATGGACCGAAACAGCATTCCCAAGCAAAGCTACATTTCTACGGCACCACAACAAGCCCCCAGACACGTTGGTGCAAAAGGCCCGGGGGGCGATGACTCTGCGAGCCCAGCAGGTGATGCGGATGTTTGGATGTGCTACGAGTGGCGGCTCTGCTTGGCAGAGCTCCTGGCACTCGCAAATACATAGCTCACGACTCCGACTGTGACGATGAGCAGTGACCTCGAAAAGCAGGGGCTTCTGATCCAAGAGAGGGGGGGCGGGGGAGGAAGGGAGGAGGGGAGGGTGGGTTCCATCGCCATCTTGATGCTTCGTCGTGCCGGGGTTCGATTGCAGGCCCAGGCATGGCATACTGAGGCCCCGGGCAAGCCCTTCGCTGGAGAGAAGCACTGCGATGCATCTTGCCTCTAGACGGAAAGTCTCTCGAGTCTTGAAAGAGGCTTGGGACAGTGTATCACTTTTCTCCTGGGTTTCTCAACTACAACCCATCCAAATCTCCGTCCTTGGCCTACTCTTCTGTCATTGCCACGAAGGCTTGGGAACAGTCGGAGCCTTGGAATATGATACGTGTGATTGTGCCCATTGTGCTCAACTCCGCTCACCGACCGTCCTGCCGGGATCGCGTAACCTACTCAGCAGATGAGATGCGAGCCGACCCCGTCCATGGCAAAACCTCGCGTACCCGAGGGCTTGAAACCAGCAAGGTGTCAGGCATTTCCAAAGCCGGGCCCTAACTCCCAGACGAAAGCGCAAGCCTCAAACTCCCCCGGCTCTTTGCCCAAGCCTGCAGTACAGCAGGTGGGAGAGCGCGAAAACGGCGACGCCCTGTAATGCCTTGGCCACGCCCGTGGACACGGCTCCGACCTGAGATTTCTTCAGGTCTCTCTCCTTTTTGGTAGCATTGGACTTGGGTAATTTTCAGCACGCATGGCCATTTGCATGCCTTGTCAGGATTTCAAACTGGGAGTTGACGGGCCTTGAAAGAGTTTCGGCAAGGCCGTGCGCTTGCGCGTCCCCCCCTCTGAAAAGCGTGGGCATGCTTCTCGCACCCCCCCCTGAGTGGTCCAGGGTGCTTTCTCGATCCGAAGCTTGCAGACTTTGCATACTCCAGGCCTTCCAGGCCTTCGGGGCCTTCAACCTCGAACAGCTCGTCCTCTGTCGCGTGCTCCGACATCGATTTGCATTCCCCCGCAAGTCTGGAGAGACCCTATCCCTATAGCGGCCTGAGACGAGGATCCTCACACTATGGACAGAAGCCTGATGAACCAAGGCACCCGTGTGAGGAGGTAGAAGAAGGTTCCAGCCTCAGCTGTCTGAGACACAGCACAAATCCATGCTGCAAGCGATGTGGAGTAACCGTGAGTGTGTTTGTGCCTTTTGAGTCCACAGCTGGGATATGAAACCGGCACCGTACGGCTCAGGTTTCAGGGGGCCAGGGTAGGAGTCACTTCAGACTTCGTCGAAGAGCTTGAGCTCCTCGCCGAAGGACTAACCCTCATCATGACTGTGCCCTTTTCTAACAAACCCCTAAACCGAAACCCCTAAACCAAACCCCTAAACCGAAACCCCTAAACCCCTAGACCCGAAAACCCTAAACCCTAAACCCGGGCACAAAGCTGAAGCCAGTTTCAGAGCCAGGGCCTCCCCCTGGCCTCCCTCGAAGTCCCTGAACGCTCGGCGGGACGAGGAGCATGAACGAAGTTTCCCAGTGCCACGGCAGCAAGAAGCAAGGAGGCTTCTAACCAGGTGGTGCCAACCTTGGCACTGGAGTAGTGAGTAGGCAAGCAGCCTACTACTACTACTACTACTACTACTACTACTACTACGATTACCACCACCGCCACCCAACGACGACTACTAGCACTTCTACTTCTACTTCTACTTGGTCGAAGAAGCATCGTCCGCTCTTCTAGTCACTTGTGCTCGGGATCTGCACGACAAGCTGGAGACCTCGCATCAACACCCGCACACCCACAAGCCCGCTGAATTCCAGTGTGAAGAATGGAGAGCTTCGCATTACAAAGGGATCCTGTGAGAGCACCACCCAACAAGTCGCCGCGTTGCATCATCCATCGGCTCCGTTATTCGTGACCAATGGGAAGTTGTAAACGTGAGCTGCCAAGCTCCTGTTCGAGAGCGGCACGGAGCTTTCCCTTTGCGCCGACAGAATGTCAACCTGTGGTGCAGCGTAAATCTTTGCCAACGCATCATAGTTCAGACTTTGCTCGCCCTTAATGGTGGGGATTCTGGCCATAAATGCATGCATACGAAATCATAAAGTATGTAGACCTGAAGAGACCAATGCATGTTGGTCTACGAACCTACATGACTCCAAGACTCCAACTTGCCCTAAACTCTAAATCCTCAAGGCCACAAAAGGGAACTCACCCCGCGTGTCCTACAACGGCGCAGCCGGTGAGACCCTGGATCGAGGCGTTCAAATGCGCCGGGATCCTGCTGGGACTCGAGCCCCGCGGATGTCAGGCGTGTCACGACAAGAGATCTGAGAAGTGATTGCAAGAATCAGATTTCTCTGCTATGTAAGGCTGCTTGAAGGCTCGACAAAGAACAAACACGACGAACAGTGAAGGCCCGCACAATCTCGCAGGCTGGTGATTGAGGGGCAGCTACTCCATGCATTCGCCGAAGTTCGCGACCATGGATGTATTTCACTGGCAGTAAGACCATGTAAGACTGACATGACGGCAACGTGCTAGAGTGTGCTAGACTCCCTAAGTCGCCTAAGTGCAAAGACCCGGCACAGGCAGCAAAAGACGAAGGGACAGGAACGACAAGACCTCAGCCGACACAAACGCCGAAGTCACAGTCGGAAGAACAAGACAACAAGACCGGGTTGCAACCCAAAGTGCCGGGCACAGTTTGTTTTAAGCTCACAGGTCCTTGGAGCATTTCGACGTCCCACTACAAGCTTGCAGGCTGCTTGCTGGATGCATTGGAAGTCATCGGGAAGCTCAGAAGGTCGGGTCCTGGCTCCTCGTACGGAGACCATCTCCGACAGCACGTGGCACGTCGCGTGGAGCACGGTGCCTGCCATGCAACTTGCCTCCACTCCGGCTGGACTAGACTCCCGTCTTTGGTCTCCCTCTGTCTCTCGCAAAGGATTCAAGCTCGTCTCGTATCACGCATTCTGGACTGGAAACTGTCCTTGAAAAAGTTCATTCAGTCCTGTGAGATTCTATGGCTTGGGACCTGTGAGTGCTGACGAGCAGGTGAACAGCAGGGAACGATCGGAGACCGTTGTGGGCTACCTATGGGACCTGTGGCTTTTGGGGCATCCGACGTCTTCCGACATTTTGGAAGCCCGAATGTCTGAGTAACTACCACATGACCACAGAAAGGGTGCATGCCCGCCTGCTCCAATCATGCAGGTTCCAAGAAAAATACTTTCACCGGTGCTCCTCCGAGTGGGGTGGAAGAACCATGCCAAGGCGGAGGGTGTTGCGAGGAATGTTCTACTGTTCTGAGATATTGCCAGGATCCCTACTCCCAGGAGGCTCCTGGCATCTACTCCTGTGACGGCCAAGCCCGAGAAGACGGCGAAGATGCTCAGCCACTGGCACTGCGTCAGCACCCGCCTGGAGCACTGGCTGAGTGGCTTCAGCGCTCACACGAGGCTTCTGCAGACAGACGTGCTCTCTGCCGAGCTGTTCAGGCTCCCGGTGCATAAAGCCAGGGACTGAAGATCAGCCCGACAAAGTCGAACACTCCTGCTCTCCTCGAGCCCAAAACGGAAGCAACAGTCTCTGCCACACCGCTAGACTCCAGCAAATCCAGGGCAAATCCAGGCGACTCCAGCAGCAGGCGGGAAAGGACAGCGGACCAGATGGTGACCGAGGCGTAGACGACGGCAAAGATCGAACTGCCAGCCTCGGCGGCACTTTCTCTCCGAGGTTTCCGTTTCCGTACCGGGGTTACACCCCCCATGCGGAGTACCAGTGTCTGAGACGGGACTGTGCCATGTATCTCATGACTCCCGACCTTTAACTTCAAGCACAGAGTCCCGGCGGATGCCTCACAAACCACATCTGCATGACGCATGTGCTTCGCCAAGATTCCAGCATGTTGCCAGTCCAGTTCCTAGGATGCACGAGCAGCTGCCACTTACGAGCTCCACCATCCCGCACTGCCCATTGCACAAGCACGACCGGATCCAAAGAAAAAAGCTGTCAACTAATTACATGCGAGGTGAGGGGTAGCGCAAAGCGACTGGCTTTAAACCCTGCTTCTCTTCATAACTCAAGAGCCGGGCGTCAAACTCTGCGCGCAGATGCCGAAAAGCGCCTGCGTCCGAAGGGGCTTTGAAGGTGTCCACTGACAAGACGTACTGCAACTCCAGATCGCGGTTGCTTGTGGCTTCCCGTCTGGCTTTACATCATAGACATAAGACTTCAAGTATACTCTGGGACGACGGTGAGAACCGAAAGCATACGGCTGAGATGACTCTGTCACAAGAAGCCTGGGAACTGCGGCTTCAGGCTGCAGGCCTTCGAATTACCTGCCTACCTGCGAGCCCAGCCCGTCGGGGCCATCATTTTGTCCAACCCCGTGCTCTTGCTGAAGGAAGCAGAGAAGGCGAGCCGCGACACCAGCACAGGTTGCAAGTTGCGGCAAGCTGAAACTCGCGGTCGCCACCTGGCACTGGCAGGAGCTCATGGCAAAAGGGAGGCTGCATGTAAGACAAGCGAGTAGTCATGCAACCAATGCCACCAGTGCTAACAGATGATGATCACATCGTCAACGCCGGAAAAGCTTGAGATTGGACTGTGGTGCCACCCCCAAGCTGGCCTTCGATTTGCTGAAGAAATGGAGCAAGCCAGTGCATGCCATGCCCGCGTAATAAGGCACCTGGGTCTTCCGACGGGGAACCGTCGGTGTCTCCACTCCACTTGAGCGACTTAGGCTGGTTTTTGTAGGGACTCCTCGGCCAGGGTGCCAAGTGCTCCGGCTGCCGTTCCCGTTACTCAGTTTGGGCTGTCTCTCAGTCCGCTTCGATACATGCCCTTTCGTATCTACATAGTTAGTATCTACAACAAGCATGTTCATGCCTACATGCGTGCTTGCGAGAAACACCTGTTTACTTCATTCTCTGGGAGCCTTTGAATGCAAATCCGTGTGCGCACGAGTCGAGCGTGACGCAACGCCGCACACAGCGCACGCCCAACGCGCACACGTTCCGATGTCTACACCCAACAGTCTCAGCTCGCCACTGTTGCCGAATGTTGTGTTCTGCGAATTATGTAGGAGTTTGCTATGCGCGGTTTTGCGACAGGCGCAAATGCACGGGTTGTATCCAGGCTCCTCTCTCGACTCTGGACGTCATCGAGGCGAATGAGATTGAAAAGATATGGGGTTCAGGGGATCTGCCCTAAATCCGATCCTCTTATGTGAAGAGCCTTCAAAAAAGGTGCACCTACATGCTAGAAAGCCATGAAAATTGAAAAAGCAAGCCTTGGCACCATGTAAAGTTGACAGCGTGGGTCGCCAAGGCCTGCCCGTCTGAGCTCGGACATCAAAAGCCTTGTCGAGGGCATTCGGGGATTGAGGGTTTAGGGCTTATAGGGGTTCAGGTCTTGTAGGGCTCATGCTTGTTTTGCCTCTCACATGGCCAGGACGTGTGGTTCTTAGTAGCTCTTAGGGTTAAAAATAAATGAAGGCTCCAACTCAGGGTTTCCTGCTCTGGGACAGAGAGGGTGCTGGGGCGTAGGAATTCGATTCTAGAGGCATTCCACTTTGCTGTGGGATGCTGTGGGCAGCTTCTGCCAGCGGATTTGGCTCTTTGCGGGCTTTCTTTGCGCTTGAACTCTTCTCCGTCTCGGTCTGACAGTGAAATCAAGTCTCATGCCAAAGCTTTTCGGTGAAGTTTTTTGCACTCATGTCGCAGCTGAGGACTGCCACGAGCACGACTGCCGACTAAATGCCATCGAAGCCGCGGCTGAGAAACTCCAGATGCAACCTTGGCAACTCGCTCACTGGCCAGGCGTGCGTCCAGCATGCACTTCCCGATTGCATGTCATCCTTTACAGAAGGTCCAGACCAAGCTGCGTTTTTTGTGCATCGGATGATACGATCGGGACCATTGGGGCCCGAATGGCGCTCTAGGGCTCGGCAGTTCCGGGATGTGCGAATTTCTTCATCTGCTCTGCTCAAGAAAAGGCCGTGGACTGAAGGGAGACACTGGGCCTGCGTGGCCAACTCAGTCCGATGCTACGTCTGATGCTACTGGGGGGGTTTCCTGAGAAAACGAGGTTGTCTAGAAAAGTTGCAGATCTTCCTCTCTAATTGATCCCAGAACCTCCGTGCTGCCGAACACCTGACTCACTTGCTGAGGTCAAGGATGGTCAAGGGACATAGGCCCCCAAAGCCACGCCGAGCACGGCGCGGCCAGCCGGGGGTCGGGGCAGAAGTGGGGCAGCCAGCGCCATTGGCAGCGTGGGTTCGGGGAGTTTCGGGTAAGTTGTAGGGTTGGGGCTGAAGGTAGCCGGTAGCCATTCAGAAGCTTTGCTTACTGGGACGACACCAAGGCATTGCCTCTGTCTTCAAGTCGTCAGTACCCGCTTGGAGAAGCTCACACCCTTTAGAATGGAAAGCCCTCTTCCTCTTCAGCCTCCCACATCTCTGGTTCGTTTCTCTCACAAAGCTCTCTCACGGGCCGCTGCAGGATTTGAGGCTTCTACAGCGATTCTACATGACGGCATGACGCCTTCGGCAGGCGCTAGATTCCCGCAGCTTGGAGCTCGGAGAAGCCACAGCAACTCGTCGAACGGGTAATGCACGTGCACTGCACGGAACCCGTATCCCCTTCGTCGTCAATGTGCCACTCCGGTCCATCGTCTAAAGACTCGAGCTTTTGACGATCAGAGTGGTCACAGACCGACCAGGCCACCCTCAGGCTCGAAGCCCAAGGCCCAAGGCAGAGCACTTCCTGCCAATCCGTTGCGACCGTCGGCGCTCGTGCGCCCGGGAATACTTCGCAAGCGTGCCCGGCGCAGCTGCTATGCTATATGGCAGTGACATGGGACTGCCTAAACCTCGAATTCTCGATTGTGCCACCAGCTTTCGAAGGGCCTTCAGGATACTGTTGAGATGTATAGGCTCAAGAAGCACCTCTCAAAGCAAAGCTGTGAGGATCTTACATGGTGCAACAAGTTGATTAGCTCGGGCCGTTGGTAGTGGGACACGAGCACGAACTATCGGCCAACGAGGAGCCTTCAGTTGCCCTGCACAATGCTTTCGGCCAGATGATTATGTGCTCCGCGTCCCTGGCCGCTTGCGGCACCGACCCGCAAAGCTGCTGCTCAGCTCAGATCTGCGCGGTTCCCCACCTTTTGCTGCTCGCATCATGTCTGGAGGCATGCTTTCGGCCGAGTCATGGAGATGTAAGGACCTCACTCACCGCGAGGAAGTGCAAAGCTTGGGTGGAGTGCGATGAAGGTGAGGCCCTTACACTACATGCAACTAACCCTCCATGCCACCGCGGGAACCTGCAGTTGGGCAACAGCGAAAACCCAAAAGTGTGGCGTTTGCCGAGTTCTGGTGTAGAGTCGCGAAACTATATGTGCCATGCATAATGCATGCAGAAAAAGATAGTCACGCAAGTGGTCATGCGGACCGGAACGAAGATTGCCACTTGTACCTCGGGTCTGCCAAGCTGCCAAGGCTTGACAGAGGCAGGTACCGGCACCCTTAGAGATGCACAGAACTTCAATTGCGCCCTCCGGGCCCACAATATGTACACGACGGACGGCATGGTGTCGAAAATGGCTCCCTACATACTACATTAACACACTCAGCCTTGTGCCCCTGTGCGCAGCTAACAGCACATCATGTAGAAAACGTCTGCACATCCTCCATGACAACCACCGTGAGCCGTAGCAACAACAACAAGCGGTAGAGGGGTACTTATGGCTTGTTGACGTTTTTAACATCTCACTTCTTCATGTGCACAGGGCAAGCTTCAAACCCTCCTTCCCAGCGTCTGTCACGCGAACGTCGACCTTCTGACCTGAGCCAAAGGGGTCTTTGTTTCGGGTGTCAGCTTCTTCCAGTATTCCACAATCTCTCCCAGCCATGTCCGGAGGGCAGCTACAGCTGGAGGGCTCTAGCATGAACGAAAAGGGCATGTTCAAGATCTAATGAAATTCTGCAATTGCTATACTATATTATAAATACTACCTTGGGGCTAAAGTATATACATCTAAATGTTATGACTTACTACAACTCTACTATACTCTACTAACCTCATCAGCCTAATTAGAATACTCCGTTTTCCTAGGTTTTTTGCTGCCTTCTAAACCCCTAAACCCCCAACCCCTAAACCCGTAAACCCAAAACCCGAAACCCCAAACCCAAAACCCTAAACCCCAAACCCCAAACCCAAAACCCCCAACCCCTAAACCCCAAAACCCCTAAACCCCGCCCCCTAAACCCCAAACCCCTTCTAGGTTCCGGCTGCTGCCTTCTTCCAGACTCTACTATACTATACTAACCTAATATCAGCCTAGAATACCTAATCAGCTTATATAGAATACTACGTTTGTCTAGGTTTTTGCTGCCTTCTTCCAGGAGCTCCACGGCTGAAGCGCTCCCGAGCTCGTCCTCCACCAAGGCCAGGAACTCCTTCGGAAACCCCAAAGGGGGCCCATGGAGGGGCTTCGGGTGTTACCCTTTTTACACCTGGACTACGCATATGCCAGGAACCCTTTTTGAACGAGGTCTCTCTGAAGTGCCTCTAACTGCCAGGAACCCTAAACCCTAAACCCCATGGCAGNNCGGGGTGGGGGGTGGGTGTAGGGTCTTTGGGCTTTCTTTATCTTCCCTCCCACTTAGCAAGGGCTTTAGGGCTTGGGGTTGAGGGTTGAGGCCCTTAATCAGGGTCTGAGATTAAAGGTACTGCAAGGATCCTACGGCTTGAGGTTTCGACTTTTGGGCCTCAGGCATCGCTTCATCGGCAAGGGGGAGCTCACAATCCAGGGTGGTGCCACAGATTGGCACAAAGCTTTGCAAGTTCTGACAGGCATTCGCCTTCAGGACTTTCAGGATGTTGTTGGCATTCTGGACTGTTGGGATATCATGGTTTACAGGGTGGAAGGTGCCAGGAGGGTGAAGGATACTACCGATTGACCAAGTGACAGTACTGTGCTTCACCCATGGTTGCCGGGAACTACTGAACTCCCACCTTCGGGGTTCATCTAGAATCTAAAGGGCATCGAGAGCCTTTACGTGTCCAGAAGCCCGAGCTCAGTTGTACATCACCGAACTGCGTGTCAAGCCTTCTTGCTGTGCCTTGCGGTGTACATATTTCTTCCAACAAGGTCTGACCTGGATAATCGACATTCCGATCTGACGGGGTTGTCCACTTGATGCAAGAAGCGTATGTCATCACATGCTCATGTGTCTATGAGCTTCTACAGTTCTACAGGCCTTCGGCATTTCTTTCACCTTCTCTTGCATGGAGAGGAACAGGCGGTCGTCCGTGACATCCCAGACTCGGACCTGGCTTGTCGAGTCATTTCGCTGTTAAAGTTAGGCCCAACAGCTCCGAATGAATCGGTCGGATCTGAAGCTCATAGAGCTCATGTTCTCGACGATTCACGGCTCAAGGCCACTGAAACGTTGGTCAGGCAGCAATCGTGATGCACCTGGCCTGGATCTTCCCATCCACGACTAGCTGCTTCGTTGGATCCATCTGCGCCTGGAGCATCAAATGGCTGTCATAAGGGGCATCGCATCACCGTCATGCATCGTAGACGGCACCCAATTGGACATGCTGGCCCCCCTGCCCAGACATGTGCTTCCAGCCATGCAGGGGGTGGGCGTGATTGTTGAAGGTTCTCAGTGTGCGATCGGAGCACTGTTTAGAGAGATTCTTGAGGCGTCCGAAAGGTCAGCGTGCTTACTCCGGCAGCTGTTGCATTCAGCCTTGTATTCCTCTTGGTCTCCGTTCCGAGATCCCACACAGCGGGGCCTTCGGCAAAATGCCAACCAACGTCCCGGCAGCAGGGTGTCGAACCTGCAACTGGAAAGGCAACCGAGATGCAAGCCACCCATCAGAATCCTCAAACTTCCCCTGCCCAATGTGTCCAGGGATCTGGGAGTTTCCGAAAATTAGGGGTACCTTATTTTGGGGTCCTTACAATAAGGATCCTGTTATTTAGGGTACGATATTAGGGTCCCCTATTTTCAGAAACCCCCATCTTGGGCCACCTTTTCACGGTACCCTCGGAGCACCTCCACAGAGGCTCCATAGGCTCCGCCGGTCCCAAAGCTCTTCACCCGACCCTCCAGCCAATGGTCCGTGAGGTCTCGGTACCTCGGAGGGTTTACACGCTCACAACTCGGACAAGCCAGGCGAGGATCCACAGGTGCATAAGTCGGCGTGACACTGCAAGCTGCCCTCCGAGGTTTAGGGTTTGGAGTGTAGGGTTTCGACTCACACACGCGCACAAGGCAGGCATGGCAATGAGGTTCCAAGCTTGCTACGTGAACATGCTGAACAGGCGAGCAGAGAGCTGGTACCACCGTAAAGGAAGTAGTAAAAACAGGAGTACAAAACATCCACAAGCCTAGTGCTCTCGATGCCCTCTGTCCCAGCAGTTCACAGTCCTTCCTGACGCAGCGAGTTAGCTGCTTCTGTTTCAAAAGACTATGTGTAACATCAACCATGCACTGTAAGCGACCTGCCAGCGAGCTGTTGTGCCACTGGCCGGCACAGGTATTCTCGTCTGTACTCAATTGCGAGTCATAGCGGGTCACCATGCAGAGGATGTCTCAAAGGCTGCCGCAAAATGCCGACAGCACTCCAACTCAATCCCACAAGCCACCATGTTGCTGCGGCCTGTTCAGCGGCCCTCCTCACGAGGACTTGCATTCCACTTGCTATTAATTCGCATGCTGTAAATTCGCATGCTTGAATTCCACGCAGTGCAGTATGCAGCGTTCCTCAATCCCAGCGCCATCTTGAATTCCATTGTCGTGCAGCTTGCAAATTCTTCATCACTCCACGTACCAAGACATGAATTCAGAGTCTCGTCGTCGTAATCGTGATTTGCAAATTCCAGCCCACAAATTCCAGCCGTGGATCCATGCAGCTAAATTCACCATGCAGCAAACACTCCATGTAGCAGATGCGCTCTGCTGTTGCATGGCGCACAGGTATTTGACCCGAGCTGTCGAGTCATTTTGCAGTTCAGCTATGTGGGTCAGCCCCGCTTCCTCTGGACCATCACGAAGCATGCCGGAACGTTGTAGCTCAGCTGTGTAGGCCAGTGACAGCCCACACTGACATCGACGTCCCCTGCTTATCCGTCTGTCCAAAGTGTGACTATTCGCACTGACATTGACGTGCCCGGCTTCCCAAACAGTCGACTGACAGACATCCACGCCCATTCAGCACACTTGTGTTGTCAGTTGCCTCCTCGCAGCATCGCAGGTCATGGTGTCCGCAGTTGCCACAGGCTTTGCAGTATTCATCCATGGCTGCAAACACTGGTCGAGGGGTAGGGAATTAGTACAGTGGGGGGCAAGGCAAGGGAACACAACCCGCGGCATGAGTTGCGACTCTCAGGGCAGAGCAGGCAGGCAGGCGACCCCGGCATCATGCATCACATGGGGAGGGTGGCTGAGGCCTGGTGTGCGAGGGAGCGTAGCTCAAAAAGGCAGTGGCCACACAACATCACATGGGCAGACTGATAGACGACTCGGACAGCTTCACAGGCAACCAACCTGGGCACCTACTCAGGAATCTCAAGCCGGTAAAATGCCCGTCACAGTCCCTTACATCAGTGAAGCCCGAGGCTCCCACCATGACTCAGGCCTCTTACAACTTATACATGTACGCATGACACAGTCGATCTTGGTTTTGAGGACTCTTCTCAGCTTCGTGACAGCGCGGTCCAAAAGTGCCACAGATGGGACCTGAATTATCATGTATAGTACAGATGGCGATGTCGTGTAATGTGCTCGTTGTGCTACTGGAGCAAATTCACAAATTCGTGAATTCACATGTATTCGTGACGCATTCATGAATTCCATGCGTGCCATGCAGAGTTCAGAAATTCACACGCAAAAATATGGCATGCACACCATGCAATGGTGTAAATTCAGCATATGCAAAATACGCATTCCTATACATGCAGTTGCGCATTCGGGGGAATTAGGTCATGCTGAGCTACAGGCTACAGGCTCGTTCGCACTGCCCACTTCTAAACAAAACAACAGACATAGAATAAAAGAAGTAGTACAACAAACATCGCAGCAGGCCAGCGCGTATTGAGGTATTGGAGCCCCCCGTGCCCCCAAAAGACTATACTGTAGTGCGTGACATGCACATGCGACTGTACTTGCATGACATGCAGCTGTACATGCACATGCACTTGCAATCGCCATTGCCCATCTTGCAAACAAGGAAGCGAACCCCTTACAGAACATGTTCAGCATGGTCACAGAAAGGAAGTGAGTAAACAAGACATGGATTACCTCAGCGGCGACCAAACTGTATGTTGTAAGGGTTCTGGGGTGGCCCAATGATATCATCCTCGGGAGCCAGGACCTCTCTACCAGACGTAAGGATAACTCTGGCCAGGGTACCCGTGCCTTGGGCCGGGATACGCGAGGCCAGATTAATTACGCTCGGCTGTGAGGCGGGTTGGGGCATCGGGGCCTGCTCAAACCTTGGCTCATGCCCTCTCAGGGAACCTCTGAAGGCATCCCGGAGCTCACGTATGGCATCGACCATCTCGTTGACCTGCCCTTTGAGCTCCGCCATCTGGGCTTGGACTTCGGTGAGCCCGGTCTGTTCTTTGGGCATGGCGCTCACAGCCGTGCCCATGGTCGACACAGCTTGTTGCAGTCCCTCGATGGCTTTGCTGTGGCCACGCAAGGTACCATTGACATCCCTACCCTGCTTCCCCATTTCACCCAGGAGTCTGTTGCTGTCCCCCTGTATGGAAGTGAGGCGCTCACGAAGCAGGCCCTCGATGCGGTCACAGCTGGCCGTGACTTTGTGCGTCACCGCATCCACCTTGGCAACTGAGGCATCCAAGGAGTCAATGCTATCCTTCACTCGGTCCAGGAA